CAGCAGGAGAGACAGCATATCAAAGCCTAGCCTAGCTACACTGGGAGGCAAACCATATTACGTAAATCAAGAATAGAGAACTAAGAACAATATACAGTTTACAGCTTAATAAAGCAATATATTAGAAATTAGTACATGAAGTATAGTTTGAAATATTTTTTTAAAATCATTATTACATAAAAAAAATGTAAGGCACTGTAAGCACTGTAGTACACTGTGACTGTTTTCTTCATGCTTGTGTGTGTCTGGTGTGACCACCAGCATGTATGTAGCAGACATTTGTGTGGAACCAAATATGAAGTATAATAAGTTGCTAATGTGTGTGGACTGGCTCTTTATCTGTGCGCTCGAATGTGTGAATATGTAGAATAATCTCTAGATGTATACTCATATTTTTAATGTGTCAACTATTCTGTAAATGCATACACAGTTTTGTGAATACCTACCACAAACCACAGTAGAGCAAATATGACAAAATGCCCTCTAAGGTGGCCCCACAACATCAGAGCAAAAGTGATAAAATTAAGGCAATGGTTTGCAGAAATAGGCTCAATACTAATGCTAGCTAACTCCAAACATTAGAGTAAATAAACAAAGCTCTAGAATCTCATATGCATGTTGTATAATGACAGTATAAGAAATGAAATAACCTGGAGAGAATATAAAATGTTAAATCCAAATGCAAAAGAATTAAATTAATGAATCTGGCAAGCCCCAACTCCCCAGGCAGTCTCTTCAAGATCTGGTATGAGTTTGAATGAAAATGAGTTTGTATGGGTTTGGAGAACTAGCTGGTTTCAGCAGGTTGAAAGTGCACAGAGCTGTGATATCTTAGGAAAAAAGCTGATTCAGTCAGTCATCATCTACATTGCTTAAAACAAGTTAAATAATAGGGATGCACTGATACCATACCTATATTGATATCCGGTCCAATGCCACCCTCTAGTACTGTACTCACTACTTGTAAAAGTTGTCCCATACGGCACGCTGATACCACTTACTGGCAGCACTACATTAACCTCACGCTGGCTGAGCCACTTGTTCAGTGCTTCAATGTGTTGATGACAAAAGTCAAGCCAAGTGTGAGTTCTGACTGTCTACTCTGTCTCTGTGACAGGGAGGGAGGGGCACCCACGCATGTCTATGAGCACAGACAAAAGGACAAGATGATCACAGACACTCGCCGGCATGCTCATATTACACTAATCTTAGTGTCCCTCCTTTGGCTACCTGCGAAATGGAGAGTGCAATTTAAGATCGTGCTCTATGTTTTTAAAGCCTTGCACGGCCTGCCCCTGCATATTTATCGGACCTTCTATCCAGATATTTTCCTCGGAGATCCCTACAGTCGTCAGGCCACCTTGCCCTTGTTGTCCCTTCTTCTCGTCATAAGAAATGGGGAGGTCGGGCCTTTGCCGTGCACGGCCCAGTATTGTGGAACGCTCTGCCCTTGGATTTATGCTCTATAATTGAACTGGTTCTGTTTAAGTCCGCTCTGAAAACATATCTTTTTAAACAAGCTTTTAATGCTTAACTTGTTTTATGGCTTTTTTCAGGCTTTTATTTTTTAGTTTTTCTGAGTGGTGTCAGACTGGACAGGAATTATGCTATAGTTCAATGAATGTATGTGCCTGTCATATGTTTACTTAGTTGACTCTGGTTTTCTTTGATTGTATAGGCTCTAATTGCCTTGATGTAGCACTTAGTGCTCTCTGAGTTGGTAAGTGCTTTATAAATAAATTTTATTATTATTAATATTATTATTAATATTATTATTAATATTATTATGATTAGGTACAGTAGTTAGTATTGTACTGCAACGACAAAGCTTGATTTGTGCAACAAAACCAACAATAATGGAGAGGGTAATTAATCACCTGAACACAAGCTGAACACAACAAACTTGCAGAAGTGCAACGTTTTCACTCTCCCCGTGGTCAAAATGCCTGGTCCATTCATCCACTAAACCAGCACAGTGCTCATTCTGCTGACTGCAGTGAATTATTGAGAACAAGAAAAAACTAATGCTCATTTTGTATTTGTACAGGTGATTTAAATGTAATGAGGAAAGGAAGAGGTGTGTGTTTAGGTGTGGTCCCACTCCTGATCTTCTGACTGAAATCTCCATTTAGAGCTTTGTGTACATGAAGCACATCTGAGTAAGCCTTATTCTTCCATGTGTTTGGAGTTTTATGTCATGATTCAGTTCCGTTGCTTCCTGTTGTGCTTTTATTTTGACGTTGCTTCCTGTTTTTGTTTCACCACAGTTTTTTTCTTTTTACTTTAGTACTCACATTAGTTTCACCTGCCCCTTATTGTTTGCACCTGTTTTCACCTCTATTTAGGCAGCATTCCCCCACCAGGACGCTGCCAGATTGTTCTAGACTCCAGCTCTGACTCGCCAGCATTATTTGGTTTTGGTATTTTGTGTTGTGACCCGGATCGTGCATTTTGACAATTCTGCTCTGCCTTAACCTCTTGTTTCGGACTGCTTCCCTGTATGAATTATCAGACTTCTCTTTCGGATTACAAACTTTGGATTCCTTGGATGTATGTGTTTGCTGGCTCTGACCTTGGATTGTTATACCAACCCGTAACTGCGTTTTGTGTTACACTGTGTCTTGTCTTGTTTTTCTGTTCAGCGTTAGTGCTGTTATTAAAGAGACGGTTTTGTTGCACATATCCTCATCTGGCCATTTAATAGAGTTCACCCACAACATATTCGGCAGCATCATGCGCCGATCCTGACAATACAATCTGGCCAAAATGAACTCAGCCAGCGAGGGGGACACGGTGTTGGAGTTGCGGACGGACTTAAGCAGTTTTTGCCACCGGTTTTACGATCTCCAGCATCCTGCAGAGCGCATATAGATATGTGCTCACATGGAAGCGCTGATCCAGAACCGGCCCCATCTGGCACACCTCCCAGTGACCGAGGACATGCTACTCCAGGTGAGGGAGCTATGAGAGGAGGCCTTATCACTCTTACTGGTCAGATGATTCACCCTGGGACACTATGCTACCACAAGACCTGTGGCACATGAACCACTCCAATGCTTACTGCCCACAGGATCTCGATTCCTCCATCAGGGTAGGGGTGTACTCCCGAGCAGCCTCCCTGGACTCCTGCCTGGCACCCTGTTTTCCGGGGTTACCTCGTGGACTAGGGCTATGTTTTTCTGGGGTTTTTTTTTTTTTTTTTGCCTGTTTGGTCCCGGTTGTGTTTGCTGGCTCTGACCTTGGATTGTTATACCAACCCGTAAGTGCGTTTTATGTTACACCCTGTCTTGTCTTGTTTTTCTGTTCAGCGTTAGTGCTGTTATTAAAGAGATGGTTTTGTTGCACATATCCTCATCTGGCCATTTAATAGAGTTCACCCATGACAAAGTCGGCAGCATCACACGCCTTTCCTGACAGTTTATGTATATGCACATTCTGAAATGTGAGTGTACACATTTAGAAATTCTGGTACACATTCACAAATCTATACATATAGTCATACAGTTTCAAAACTCTGGACACCCACTGCAACATAGTAGGGCTGTCCCTTTTTGGGTTCTGGATATTCTCTTGTAATAATTGGGCTAATATTTGAAAATTTGCTGCGTGCCCTGCAGCTAAAAGTACCTCTTTGCCCATCTGGCAGAACATTGGATTTAAAAAACAAAACAAAAAGCTAATGAGTTATTGGCTAATATTTAATGTAACAGATTAACAGACGATAGATGTTCATAACCATTTGCATGTACTTAAAATGTGCTGTATTTCCACCATTGATGTGAGATTGAGAGTTTTACCGGTGAAAACATCTCACTCTGTTGGAGTTGTTGGAATGACAGAGAGGCACTCAGTTCACTCTGATTATTCAGTGCCGTTACAGAGTAATACCTCTTTACCTCATAAACAAATGCAACAGAGTGTTGTCTGCTTGTCCACCGGCTGCAGCGAGGTCACAAACCCGACAACAGCCACTAACACTTCGTCCTGTCATTAATTTAAGTCACAGAGTTAACATTAGTTAGCAACAGTTGGTATGACCCAGCTGGTTGTCATTTTAACTAGAAAAAGCAATTATCAGCAGAAGCTGCTACCTAAACGATTTCCACACAGAGCTTTGCTAACAAGACTGTAGGTGTCACTTGGCACTGCTATGTGGCAGCAGTGGAGGGTCTCAAATATTTAAATACTAAAATTGAAAACCGTTTACCTACCCAATGAGCAAATATTCAGATAGTCAGATACAGTATGTTCAACCCTACAACATAGTTGGCCCCACTTTTACTTTACTCACACCTCATCAGCCAGCTGCTCTCCCAGTTATTGGAATGCCCTGAACAAGAACTAAAACATAAGAGTTTAGGTGAACCTGAGTGAGCAGGCTGCTAGCAAGCTTTGACTTGCTAACTAAGACTGAGCCAAAACCTCATTTTTACTACCATTAGATGCTTTTGGTGCTACTGGTGTGCAGTCTGGAGCATGGGTGAGCCGTTGTTGTTGTTGTTGTTGTTGTTGTTGTTGCTGCTGCTGCTCCTGCTGCAGTTGTCTTTGCCCCCTGTTGAGGCCCTGCTCTCAAGGATATGGGCCTTGCCTTGCTCTTCTTTCATGAAAAGGTCTGCCAATAGAATCTTCTCCTTGTAGATCTGGAGGCTGATGTCCTTTGGGATATCTGGAATTAGCCAGTCCACAATGTCGCTCATCAGCATCACAACATTCTGGAAAGGATAAATGGAAGAAAATCATACTTTTTTTTTTTTTTAAGAGCCAATGTTTAAGTTATAGGGAAGAGTCCTGATTTTCCAAACCCTATATATAGGAATGCATGATATTACTGTACTGTGTAAAATGTGAAGTTGCACAAAACACAAAATAACAAAGTTACTGGTGGAAGTTATGATTCCAAGACAGTATTATGTATACAAAAGAATTCAAGAAGATTGTGGAAACAACAAATCCATGTAAAAAACATTGCTGTGGTAATACAGAAGCATAGAACACACTAAAAGCAACAGAGGAATCCAACAGCCTTTAACTGTATATGTACAGTGGGTACGGAAAGTATTCAGAACCCCTTAAATTTTTCACTGTTATATTGCAGCCATATGCTAAAATCATTTAAGTTCATTTTTTCCTCATTAATGTACACACAGCACCCCATATTGACAGAAAAACACAGAATTTTTGACATTTTTGCAGATTTATTAAAAAAGAAAAACTGAAATATCACATGGTCATAAGTATTCAGACCCTTTGCTGTGACACTCATATATTTAACTTAGGTGCTGTCCATTTCTGCTGATCATCCCTGAGATGGTTCTACACCTTCATTTGAGTCCAACTGTGTTTGATTATACTGATTGGACGTGATTAGGAAAGCCACACACCTGTCTATATAAGACCCTACAGCTCACAGTGCATGTCAGAGCAAATGAGAATCATGAGGTCAAAGGAACTGCCTGAAGAGCTCAGAGACAGAATTGTGGCAAGGCACAGATCTGGCCAAGGTTACAAAAAAAAAAAGAATTTCTGCTGCACTTAAGGTTCCGAAGAGCACAGTGGCCTCCATAATCCTTAAATGGAAGACGTTTGGGACGACCACAACCCTTCCTAGAGCTGGCCGTCCGGCCAAACTGAGCTATCGGGGGAGAAGAGCCTTGGTGAGAGAGATACAGAAGAACGGGTGCAGGCCGAGGCGTTCCCAGGCCAGCCGAGAGACATAGTCCCTCCAGTGTGTCCTGGGTCTTCCCCGGGGCCTGCTCCTGGTGGGACATACCTGGAACACCTCCCTAGGAAGGTGCCCAGGAGGCATCCGGAACAGTTGCCCGAGCCACCTCAGCTGGCTCCTCTCGATGTGGAGGAGCAGTGGTTCTACTCTGAGCTCCTCCCGAGTGACCGAGCTCCTCACCCTATCTCTAAGGGTGCGCCCGGCCGCCCTGCAGAGAAAGCTAATTTTGGCCACCTGTATCTGGGATCTTGCCCTTTCGGTCATGACCCAAAGCTCATGACCATAGGTGAGAGTAGGAATGTAGATCAACCAATAAATCCTTACAGCTCATCTCCTTCTTCACCATGACAGACTGGTACATCAACCGCATTACTGAGGAAGCTGCACCGATCCACCTCTCAATCTCAAATTCCATCCTTCCCTCACTCGTGAACAAGACCCCAAGATAGTTGAACTCCTCCACTTGAGGCACCAACCTGAAAGGAACAAGCCACCTTTTTCCAACTGAGAACCATAGCCTCAGACTTGGAGGTGCTGATTCTCATTCCAGCTGCTTCACACTCAGCTGCAAACCATCCTAGTGCATGCTGAAGGTCTTGGTTTAATGGAGCCAACAGGACAACATCATCTGCAAAAAGCAGAGGTGAGATCCTGTGATCCCCAAACCGGAATCCCCTCTGGCCCCTGGCTGTGCCTAGAAATTCTATCCATAAAGATAATGAACAGAACCGATAACAAAGGGCAGCCCTGCTGGAGTCCAACATGCACCTGAAACAAGTCTGACTTACTGCCGGCAATGCAAACCAAGCTCCTGCTCCATCGTACAGGGACCGGACAGCCCTTAGCAAAGGGTATTATGGTTGACATTATGGTTACTCCTCCTTGAACCGCTACCTTTATGTAGTGGAGGGGTTTGAGTACCCAAATGATCCTAGGTGCTATGTTGTCGGAGGCTATATGCCCCTGGTAGGGTCTCCCAAGGCAAACAGGTGATGGGTCAGACTAAGAGTGGTTCAAGACCCCCTTATGAAAAGATTAATATCAAGGACCGTGATGTCGCCCAGGTATGGCGCAACCGGGGCCCCACCCTGGAGCCAGGCCCGGGGTTGGGGCTCAAATGCGAGCACCTAGTGGGCGGGCCTCTTCCCATGGGGCCCAAACGAGCAATGTGGGGACATCCGCTCTTGGGCCCACCACGTGCAGGAGGATCCATAAGGGGCTGGTGCATAGTGGATTGGGCAGCAGTCAAAGGCAGGGGCCCCGATGACCCAATCTCTGGACACGGAAACTAGCCCTGGGGACATGGAATGTCATCTCGCTGGTGGGGAAGGAGCCCGAGCTTGTGCAGGAGTTTGAGGTGCCAGCTAGATATAGTTGGGCTCACCTCCATGCACAGCTTCGGCTCTGGAACCTTACTCCTTGAGAGAGGCTGGACTCTCTACTGCTCTTGGGGTGCCCGCGGTCAGAGGCGGCGGGCTGGTGTGGGCTTGCTCATAGCTCCCCAGCTTAGCCGCCATGTGTTGGAGTTTACCCCGGTGAACGAGAGGGTTGCTTCCCTGCTCTCTGGACACGGAAACTAGCCCTGGGGACATGGAATGTCATCTCGCTGGTGGGGAAGGAGCCCGAGCTTGTGCAGGAGTTTGAGGTGCCAGCTAGATATAGTTGGGCTCACCTCCATGCACAGCTTCGGCTCTGGAACCTTACTCCTTGAGAGAGGCTGGACTCTCTACTGCTCTGGAGTTGCCCACGGTGAGAGGCGGCGGGCTGGTGTGAGCTTGCTTCTAGCCCCCCAGCTTAGCTGCCATGTGTTGGAGTTTGCCCCGGTGAACAAGAGGGTCGTTTCCCTGTGCCTTCGGGTCAGGGATAGGTCTCTCACTGCCGTTTGTGCCTATGGGCCAAACGGCAGTGTAGAGTACCCGGTCTTCTTGAAGTCCCTGGGAAGGGTGCTGGACAATGCCCTGAGTGGGGACTCCATTGTTCCACTGGGGGACTTCAACGCTGACGTGGGCAGCGACAGTGACACCTAGAGAGGCGTGATTGGGAGGAACGGCCCCCTGATCTGAACCCGAGCGGTGTTCTGTTATTGGACTTCTGTGCTAGTCACAGTTTGTCCATAACAAACACCATGTTCAAGCATAAGGGTGTCCATCAGTGCATGTGGCACCAGGACACCCTAGGCCGGAGGTCGATGATCAACTTTGGGGTTGTTTCATCTGACCTTTGGCCGTATGTCTTGGACACTCGGGTAAAGAGAGGGGCCGAGCTGTCAACTGATCACCACCTGGTGGTGAGCTGAATCTGATGGTGGGGGAGGAAGCTGGACAGGCTCAGCAGACCAAAGTGTATTGTGAGGGCAGAGCTTCGGCCAGGTCCAGGGGGAGGTTGGAGACATTGAGTCCGAGTGGACCATGTTATGCTCTGGTGCCTGTCGTGGCGGCAATCCCAGACCCCGGTGGTGGACACCGGAAGTAAGGGATGCCATCAAGCTGAAGAAGGAGTCCTTTCATGCCTGGTTGACTTGTGGGAAACCTGAGGCAGCTGACGGGTACCAGCAGGCCAAGCGGACTGCAGCCCGGGTGGTTGTGGAGGCAAAAACTTGGGTCTGGAAAGAGTTCGATGAGGCCATGGAGAGGGACTATCGGTCGGCCTTGAAGAAATTCTGGCAAACCGTCTGGCGCCTCAGGAGGGGGAAGCAGTGCCCTGCCAAAACTGTTTACAGTGGAGGTGGGCAGTTGTTGACCTCGACTGGGGATATTGTCCGACGGTGGAAGGAATACTTTGAGGATCTCCTCAACTCCAGCGTCATGTCTTCCGATGAGGAAGCAGAGGCCGGGGGCTCGGAGGTGGACTCGTCTATCACCTAAGTTGAAGTCACCGAGGTAGTTAATAAGCTTCTCAGTGGCAAGGCACCGGGGGTAGATGAGATCCGCCCTGAGTACCTTAAGTCTCTGGATGCTGTGGGGCTGTCTTGGATGACACGCCTCTGCAATGTCGCATGGTGGCTGGGGACAGTGCCTCTGGACTGGCAGACCGGGGTGGTGGTCCCTCTTTTCAAGAAGGGGGACTGTAGGGTGTGTTCCAACTATAGGGAGATCACACTCCTCAGCCTCCCCGGAAAAGTCTATGCCAGGGTATTGGAGAGGAGAATTTGACCAATAGTCGAACCTCGGACTCAGGAGGAACAATGCGGTTTTCGTCCTGACCATAGAACACTGCATCAGCTCTATACCCTCTTCAGGGTGGTGGAGGGAACATGGGAGTTTGCCCAACCAGTCTACATGTGTTTCGTGGATCTGGAGAAGGCATTCGACTGTGTCCCTCGCGGCGCCCTGTGGGGGGTGTTCTGGGAGTACGGGGTCCGGGGCCCTTTGCTAAGGGCTGTCCAGTCCCTGTAGGACCGGAGCAGGAGCTTGGTTCACATTGCCGGCAGTAAGTCAGACTTGTTTCCGGTGCATGTTGGACTTCGGCAGGGCTGCCCTTTGTCATCGGTTCTGTTCATTACTTTTATGGACAAAATTTCTAGGTGCAGCCAGGGACCGGAGGGAGTCCGATCTGGGGACCACAGGATCTTGTCTCTGCTTTTTGCAGATGATGTTGTCCTGTTGGCTCCATCAAACCAGGACCTCCAGCGTGCACTGGGGTAGTTTGCATTCGAGTGTGAAGTGGCTGGGATGAGAATCAGCACCTCCAAGTCCGAGGCTATGGTTCTCAGTCAGAAAAGGGTGGCTTGTTCCCTGCAGGTTGGTGGAGAGTTCCTGCCTCAAGTGGAAGAGTTTAAGTAT